GGTTAATATGTTTTTTGTGGTCATTATTTCTACAAAAGACAATTTAAAAAAAGTAAGAGATATATTCTTTGCTTAATTTATCTTGTTCTTTATCAATCTTTTCTGTCTTGCTTTCATACTCCCTTACAGTCTTCAATAACTCCTTAACATGTTCCATACATTCTGTGCAAAGAAACATGGCATGCTTATTGTCAGAACCTGAGATGCATTTGTAAACTTTAAGTACCGTAGCTCCTCAGTTCTTCCTAAACATCCCTGGCCGGAACATCAGTTTTTGCTGAGTCCCAGCCCATATGGGAGAAGGGGAATGAGAGTGCTGATGCTGTGGCAAACGCAGCTGCTTCTTGCCCTGATACATCATTCTTCTCTACCTGCCTCTGATATGAGGATGGTAATAAGAGCTGCCATCCACTTGAGTTGGTAATGCAGGTGGGATGCTGTCAGACTGTTGGAGCAAACAAACTCTGCAGCATCCACCTTGCTTTGGGTGCCTGGGGATATCGGAGACTGTCACGCTGCTGGGCAACTGCGTTGGTCCACCTCCGCATTGGACACACGCACGTGACTTATGTTTTTTTTTAATGGAGAGGGTGCCCCCTCCTTATTGTGATGACTGTTCATCACCTCCTGGTGGAGTGCCCCAGTCTTAGATATCTTCGTCGTAAGCACCTCTCCGAGTGCCAGGTGGGAGACGGGTTTTACCGTCTCTCTTTGGTGCTGGGGAGCGGGTAGCGTTGGAGGGAACATCCTCTCCTTTGTGGAGGAAGCCGGCCTTCTACACAAGCTTTGAGTTTTATGTACAGTATTAACTTTTAAATGTTTTTTTATGAAAGTTCTGTGCTATTTATTTATTTTTCCTTGCATAATTTATTTTTAGCCTTCTAATCTTTAGTTTAATTCGGTGGCATATGACTTATGCTGTTGCCATCACCAGGGACGTAATTACCACAATCAATCAACTTAAGTATCCCTTGTGTAAATCTCTCCTGCAATTATGGCATGTAAGAACCCCAACTTTGCTGCCTGAGAGCTCCACGCAGGAACCAAAGGTGCTTTGAGTCATGTTTTTATTTGTTTATTGATTGATTGATTTTTTTATGGATTAACTATCTTGTGCAATTACCGTACTTTCTAAACGTGGCAGCATCAACTGACACTTGGCAATGCTGCAAGAGTATTACGATATTCTAAGCTTAGCTAATAACAGTTACATGTCTCGCTGTCTTTTTGGGGAGATGGAAACTGTCTTCCGTGAATTATGATTTTTATGCAGTTTCTGAGTAGACACACTTTTAGCCCAAAATGTAGTGACTTATTGTATAACACCATATGGTGTTATACAATACTGTATAAGACACTGGACCAAGAATTCTGAACAACATGTGTTTTATATGTACTGTACAGTAATGTATTCCTGTTAATTTCTCTATATTAACTGAGTATCCCTCAATATACAAACGTTGGAGATAAGAAAATTTGCTTATTCAAATTTTCTAAATTACCTCTTCTTTTTCGTGTTACGAAAGCTTCCCCCCACTTATACGAATTTGCGTCCTGACAAAATTCAAATCGTGCACCCCCTGAAGCTGCAACTGAACAAAGCAAAAGGATGAATAAGTTTTAGAGTACAGTACAGTACTGTACATGATAAGTATCCCAGTCCCCCCAGGTAAAACATCATAATGATATGTAGCAAAGGGAGTCTTTATAAACATGCACATATATCACTGGGATGATGTAGATTGAGACAAAAGGTGTGTTGATGTTTTCCACCCACACTCCCTTTCCTGTCCAGTGGGGACTTGGTCTGCCACACCAGCAACTAACTAATCTCGAGATAAACGAGCAGCAGGTCTAGGACCTCCAATTATTCAGTCCCATTTATATCAAAATTGGTATGACAATGAAAGAATTCCGGAGATGATAATTGCTTACGGCTAAATTGTAATGGTATCAAATGGGGAGTTATAGGTATGCAGAATACTGTTATGCAGGCCTTTGTATACATACACAGTACAGACTTCTACTGTGGTTGACTCGGAATGTCAACACTCTTTCATACTGGTGTGATGCCTGTACAGGTGCTAGCTGGAGAAATAATTGGCTTATTCACAAGCTCAGTTCATTATTGTGTGTATTAATTGAGGATGCCATTTTGCATTTCTTTTAATTCCACTTTTACCTAAAATCGAATTTTGCAACTTTTTTTTTCTAAAAAAATAATCTTTATATATCAAATAAATGTTTGTAATGATATTTGTGGTGACGGTTCGAGTCTCTTTACCTCCTGTACTGTGTAGACTGATATCTCTTTAATAATACCATGCATTTTTTTATCATTTCTTTTACTCAGTGACACAATCATGGTACAGAGTACTACTGTATCCATCTAAATTCTTGTCATATTTTCTTTCATACATACCCATACATATATAGCTTGGCAGCTTATGTGTATCACCTCAGTGACTTCTTAAGTATCCAAGAGCATTGCCATACTGTAGTTCACTTTCTGCATTTTAGAGTTACGTGCAGTGCATGCAGAAAATTACCATACATTCCAAATCTAGAGTGTGAAAATTGGGCTGAATACTTGAGTTCCTGTTGTTAGAATTAGCAAAAGAACCTTTGTAATTATAGTAGTTCAGGGCTAACTTCCTTTCCTATTGATTTCTGCTATTGTTCTAGGAAGAGATGGAAAAAAATAAACTATTTTTATGAGGTCAATTCCCTCTCCCTAGTTTAACAACCTGATGATAAAGGTGGACTAATTGCATTATAATTAGCATCCCTTGTGGTGTGCCAGTAACTGTGGAGGAGCTATTGTAGACTACCTGTTTTGATATTTGGAAATGCTGTGTGCATAAAACCCTTATGGAAGCAATATACAGTAGTTGTAAAGTTTGTTACTGTTTCTTAAAAGGCATATATGGATGTCACATTTTGTAGTAAACTACAGTACTAGTTTGATTTTGTAAGTAGATTTGAATGTAATTACTATCATTTATTTGATCATTGGTGCTAATATTTAATGCACAGCTTTTGTTACTATTTTTTTTCATTCATTTGATGGTGGAGACAGTTTGTTTAAAGTTCCTGTATTTCTGTACAGTGCTTCTCTTGATGAATTTTTGAGTACAGTAAAATATCTGTCAACCATAAAGTTTGGGACAAAGAGGTTTCCTTAAAAGGGATAATGAGGAAAAATGGAAAGCAAGTAATTAATCGAAATATAGGGTACTGTACGTGTATCAGTTTGATAATATTACTAGCTTCTGTAAATATCTGTACACTAACTTATTTCATTATTCTCTTGACATTCAATGTTATTAAGTCAACAAATAAGCATTCAACGTGTCGTCATTTTTCTACAATTATCATATAACGTACTCCTCAAACTTGCGAGAACACCACCACACACTCAGTCACTGAGACAGTTACTTGATTGTCCATTTTTCCTCATTTACTTGCAGTGTGTGCAAAATTATTTCAAAGATAATTATTATATACGTACATTACTCTATTCATAAATTTCATTTTTGGAAAGTTACACTATTTTATGAATGAAATTTTTGGTTGATAGATACTTTACTGTGACTGTCAATGGAATTAAGCCATAACACTTATACTGTATAGTACTTCCATGCATTAAGTAACTTTTATGATAATGATCACTGTACTGTATTTATATTGATGAACTTTATACAGTATTACAAAATTTAACCTAAAGACTACTGCAGTCTTATCACTCATAACACAATAACCTTAGTATTTAAAAAAAATTATCAAACTATATATACAATTCTCTGTTTAACTATTTTTCATCAAGTTTCTTAAAATAAAGCAAACCTCCCCAAATAATTGTAGCCTTTGACCAGATACAACAGTAAATTCCAGTCATTGATATTTTTTGCATCAGATTATATTTATAAAAGTTAAGATCATATATATATATATATACATATACATACATATATATATATATATATATATATATATATATATATATATATATATATATATATATATATATATATATATATATATATATATATGCATGCAAGTAAATCACTCTAGGTGCGCGTGATCCAAGTATATACTGATAACCACAAGGAAACAAGAAAACACGACGTTCCAAGCACTTTCGTGTAATTCACATCTTCAGGGGTGAGTACAGACCCCTGTGGTTATCAGCATATACTTGGATCACGCGCACCTAGAGTGATTTACTTGCATGCATATATATATATATATATAGTGGGGGGAAGGGGCCTACGGATAATCGAAAAGGTCGTTTAATAACACATAAAGTCTACGGTAATAAAGCATACATTTTCAAAGTACCTTTCCCTAACCTACCTCATTTAAGTCCCTCTATTTATTTTTGTTCATTTGCCATTCATATTTCAATAGAATTTGCTTTAACCACTTTAGTAAATAAATATGAACCAACACAGAAACCGTGAATAAAAAATGGAAAAGTCAAAGAACATAAGTCAACACAAAAATTGTGACCAAGTCCCAGGTTGCTGATCTGACTTTCTGCCTCATCTACACACAATTGCAGGGTCTCAATTGTTTCTCTTACTATTGACAACACAACATGCATACAGGTAGATTGTTTCTCACTCTTGATTTTTTTTTATTTTTGCATTTCTTTATGGTTCTTTATTACTATTATTATTATTATTATTATTATTATTAATATTAGCAGTATCATTATTAATATTATTACATTATCGCCCCCCAGGCCCCGATGTGGGTCAGTGACCTGTGCCCGGGTGGACTAATTAATCCCTGTAATAAAAAAAAAAAAAATTAGGGGTTTGGGATTGACGGTTAATCCGAAAGTCGGTTAATCGAGGGTCGGTTAATCGAGGTTTTACTGTATTTATATCCTTAACAGTAATAATATCAGGTTTGTAAAGAGTTATTCGATTTTTCTGTAATATTTTCATTACAAGATCCTCATTTTCCTTATTATAACTCAAATCTTTAATCAGATCCAGAAATTTTGAATGGCCTCCACTGGTCGGCAACGGTTGACCGGGTATTCCAGGAAAACTTTGAGGGTGATTCAACACTCGCTTGGCAGTACTTTGGAGCACAAACTGGCTTTATGCGAGTTTATCCAGCTACCACGTAAGTACAGTACAATACTGTATATGGCATCATGAGGTGCTGAACATACTACTGGACTAGAAGTGTTGATTGGTATTCTTTTCATATGGGCAGTTCATCCTAATACTGTACTATTTTCCCACTACATTTTTTTCTTGTGTTTGATTACACTTTCATATCGGATTAAAAAAATTAAAGTACTGTATTGAGCATTTCAACTCCAGTAAGCCTGTCCATCAACTCCATCTCTTTTGGTGATTTATAGCAACAATATTTCTCTGACAAATGGGCAAAATTCTAATACAGGTACTGAATTGTATTGAGTATTATGAATTGGTTAAGTCCCTTGAAAACCATTCGTTAAGTAAATATTTGTTCAGTATAATAAAAAAAACATTCTGGTAACATATGGAAATATTAGTGTTTGGTTCCCCAATGACAAGAAAACCCCTATTTCATGAAAAAATAAATAAAAAAAGTTAATTGGCTCATAAATAACAAAAATCTACCTAGCTACTGTAATTTATCTTCACTACTGTAATTTAGTAGTTAACTCCTGTAATTTAGTATTTAATTATTGTAATTTAGAAATAAACTACTGTAATATATAGCACCTGCCTGACTGCCTGTTTTAGCTCATAAAAATTTCATACAAATTACCGGCCAGAATATAAATTTGTTGCTTTGGAATTCTGCAATTTGGTGATCATTTTGAATATAAAACATCATATATATTTTTTTTTGCATTGACCTTGAAATTTTTAGATAAAATATTTTCTCTGAGTAAATATGTTATCTTTTGTGCAAAATATGACATTTATTCAAAATATTCCTGGTCTTGCCGAGGAATCCAGCAATGTCAATTATATATTATCTAGCTTTTAGTTTGAGGGTATTATTTATTACTAAAGTTAATTATTCTGGTTTTTCCCACACACATCTCCTTGGGGCGGTTGGTGGGGGTTAGAGGGAGGGGAGGGACGACCGACCATCTGTTGTTACCCTGTGAAAAGAATATTTTTTTTATTAACTGAGGTATTTGTTTTGCTTATAAAATTCATACAAATTACCCAGTCAGAATATAATTTACATTGCTGGAATTCTTATAATTTGATGATCATTTTGAATATAAACATCATATATTTTGCATTAGGCAATACAAATTTTAGATAAAATGTTTTTCTCTGAGTGAATATGTTCTCTTTTATTGCAAAATATATGACATTTATATTCAAAATATTCCTAAT